AAAATCCAAGAACGATGCGCAATACAAGAAAGAGCTTAATTTTTAACTACGATATTAGCCAAAAACGGCCTACAAAGATCGAAAACTGTATGCACTTTTTGAAGCGCAGATCGCTTTTAGTTGTGAGATGAACAACGGCCATGAGTGCACAATGCGTCCGATCTGGCAAGTTTAGTTACATCGGGCATGGTTAGTATCTTAGCTCCCGACCTCAAGAGTTGGGGTGCTGCTGCCCGATCAAGTAAAGCGTACAAGTTTTTCTTGCATTGCGAGAATAGAGGCTCTTCCCGATAGGGAGCTGATTTTCTATTGTAAAAGCGCACCCGATCTCAGACAAGGAGATTGATACATTCCACCCCTGATCATCAACTTACGAGTCAATAAGCAGCTCAAACGATAAACAACTGCTCTGGGTGTGAGATGCCCAAAAGCGGTTTTGTACTGAACTCCAGGCGTCGCTTCAACATCAGTACATTCTGTCAGATATCATGAGGAGAGAAGATTTCATTGAAGGCTCGACAGAGAAAAAGGGGAGGAGAAGGATTATGAGGGTTTGGCAGATGGGTAGGCCTCTTACCTACGAACATTTTTCCAGAAAGCATATTTGATAGGAAGATCAGCAAAGACAGTGAATCAACGGGGTGTAGCAGAGGAGCTGTATTTTTGGAAATGGTTCACCCAGCTAAGTCTCACATAATTATCATCCGCGGTATGAATTAAGCGTCCAGTAAGCGAAGCAAAGATGGGGTTGAGATTACAACATATTTTCTCTGCGTTTGTACATATTTATGCTATAAAAAACTCATTAAAACCTATATTCATCGCTTTTTCGCATAAACATTTTCCATCCCTCCTCCGTAGAGACGTCACTTTCTTAATGACTGAAATGTTAAGAGAAGGTATGGAAATAATATATTAGGATGTCTGACCTACTGACTTGTACCTACAGTCCACAGAAACCCAATATTCGATAATACTCCTACCAATAAGCTTAACCCGATGCGTAAAAGGATTACAATCTTCGACACGGTGTTCAGACAACCCTCCTTCCATGTAATGATGCGGCGGAACCAATACCTTGATATTGGTAATCCTGTGCAAATTATTTGTAGATAACGAGAATATGAGCCCTTTAATACGGCTTCAATGATTTTTTCAATGCACTTTCACACCTTCCAACGAAGATGTCTTCGTATTTCGCCAAGTAAAGAAAAACTAGAAATCATTTGGATTTCTTT